TTTGTTGGCCCTGCGACGGAGAGGACATCGCTTCTGCATCACTATGTGACGCTCCACAAGGCTCCGTGCTGACGTTGTTTAGAACAACGGCTGGCTTTTTTTCCTCCCTGGACTCATTTTGGGAGTGGGTTGTCCTTATATTCACGGGCCGTGACCCCCAGGTGGGCTGAGCAAACAGAGTGGTCAAAGGTTCTCAGGTATTAATTGGATGACAGCAGGGGGCCCCAAACCTGGCAACTTTAAGACTTGTGGACTTCAACTCCCACCCCTGCATTTTCAGGCATACTTTAATATCTGAACAAGCTGTTTCCAATGCCTAGCATGGTCCGTGTTTAAAAGCAATGGCAATCAGAAGCCCAATATTGGTTGTGTGAGAAGATGGTTTGAAGATATCCGTGTTCTGAATGTATGAAAAAAATGTTTACGAGACTCTTAAGCGTCAGTAAAAAATTGAGAAAAAACATTCCCAAGGTGTCATCCTGTGGCTTGAATTTGTGGGTGGCTTGAATTTAAGATCTACCGGTTAATATTAATAAACCAGGTTTTATCGATTAGTATGCACCAAAACCACTATGCTTCATTCAATACAGTTAATATTGGTCATTATTAAACAAACCATAGGTAAACATCAGTTTAACTGGCCAGACTTTGAACGCAAAGCACAACAAAAATTCAAGGTTCTCTAAGAGATCTTAGAGAGTCAATGGCCTTTCTACCAGGGCAGATCACTGGTCCATCTATGCTACAGGTCCCCAAACTTGGCAACTTTAAGCTGGCTGGAGAATTCTGGGAGTTGAAGTCCACAAGTCTTAAAGTTGCAAAGTTTGAAGACCTCTGATCTATGCTGACTGGCTGTAGTTCATTTCCCTTCCTGATCCCCATCTGCAAATCCCCACAACTAAATCAAGCGGTCAAATCTTTGTCAAACAACAGTCCTTCCTGTGACTTAAAAAAATCAAAACAGCTGCAAAATTGGCTCACTTATTTTGTAGTCAAATCTCCAAAATGCAAAACAACAAGAAGTAGCAGTTCCATCTCTAACTTCTGTATTCTACCATCATACTATTTTTGTGGGACCAAAGGTATAACAAAATTAGGCATGCTAAAAATTAAACAAAACAAAACAAAATTAGCCTCCATGCTAACCTGCTCTTAAATTTGAGACCATTCCTTTAAAAAAAAAATATTAAACCTTTTTACAAAACAAAACATAAAAACCTGTTCTGACCTCCCTCCTCTGTCCAGTAACGAAAGCCAAGACAAGCGTAAAATGGAATGTCCTTTAATTAGCAAGTCCAGACTCTCGATGGCTGAAAGCCAAATAAACAAACAGATGGCAGCAAGTCTGACAAACCTTGGTAGCAATACAAACAAACTCTGGCAGCAATCCAGCCTGCCAAGTTCGTTTCTCTTTAGTCCAAGCGTTGACTTCTGCAAGAAAGGCGTGGCACAAGCAGTCTTTTTTATAGTCTGGAGAGGAGCTTAATGACCATCAGCTGAGCGTAATTACCTCCTGTAATTACGTAGTTGTTCTTGACGCTGAGTAGCCCTTCGATGACGTGCATCCCGGAACAACTCACTGTTGATTTCTGGATCACTCTCTTGTCTCCTCCCCACTGATCAGAGGCTCAGGCGCCACCTGGTGGCCAACCAGTCTCTCTGCGCCCTGCTTGGAGTCAGAACCCTGTCCAGGGTCCTCCACATCTTCCAGAGTCAACTCATAGGGCCCCTCGCTGTCGGAGTCTGGTGGCAGCTCCAACAGCTCCTGCTGGGCCACAACAAAAACCACATTCTACATCCATTCTTCCCATTCCTAAGACATTGGTATATCCCATTTTGTTTATCGTCATACATACTTTCCATTTATTTTATATTTCCCTCTTTACATTTATAATTCCTTTAACCTACATATATATATTTCCTACTTTCATTTGCTATTCCTGTTCTCTAACCAGTAAATACCATCGATCCCATACTGTATGGTATTCCTTATCTTCTTTATCTTGACCATTCCTAAGATCTGTTCTGACCAGAAATTGTTGTTTGGGCTGGACAGTAAAATGCTCAACTCACCAACCAACCAACCAACCAACCTGCTATATAAAATTTTTGCTGCTGGCATTTTCTTCCACATCACAAAACCTGGCCTTGCATGGATTTGCAATTTATGGCAGGGATGTCCAAACTTGGGAACTTTAAGACTTATGGATTTCAACTCCCAGAATTCCCCAGCCAGTAAAATTCTGGGAGTTGAAGTCCACAAGTCTTAAAGTTCCCAAGTTTGGACACCCCTGATTTATGGTAAGAAGATATAAATCAGGAACAGGAAGTGTGAAAGACAAAAACAGATAAAAAGAGGGGAAAAACAAGACAGCATTGTGATGTATGAGACCCAAGGCTATGCTATGATCTGATACGCATAGACAACCCCTCGGTCTCGTGTTCAGGTGGCCAAACCAGGATGTGGGTGACCGGAAGGCCATGTTTGGCTTGGAAAGAGGGACCCACAAGTCCTTATAATAAGAACTGTGATCTGGGGTGCTCAATAGCTTTATTTTTTCACCTCTTTCCAGTATGCCTGGAGGGCAAAGGAAACGCACCACAAGGTGCAACCAGCAGAACTGGCCTCAGAGCCTGGGGACTCATAAGGAAGGTTACAGAAGGCATGCAGAGATGTTACCTCTTGCAAAATTACTGCCGACTGGATTGCACCAACGGTGCGCCATTCCAGTGCTGTGCTACGCCTGTCTACTACTCCGTTGAAGTCGTACTTCTTACCCTGTGACTCGGGTCACATCAGGACTGGCTGTTTCCATTCCGGTGGTTTCCCAGGTTTCCTCTTTCCCCCGGGATTTATCTAGTGATTTCTAGCTGAGACCCTAATCCTGGGAAAGATGAAAGGAAAGCGAAAAAGAGGATGGCTAGCAGCAGGGTAAAAAGACCTGATTCCAGCTCTGTTCTGATTGATTGATATCAGCAATCATTAAGAAATATTAACTAATGAGCTCCAGAACGTTTACAAAATATTGCAGAAGTGATCATGAGTATAGTTTTACTCTCATTCTTTTCATCAAGCAATCGCTCCGGTTTTCATCCTGATGACAATTGCTCTTGTTTTGTCTGCCCAGGGGCCCACTCCAGCAACATGATTGCTAGTTCACACCAGGATGACGCTACCCACACATTGAACCTCCTAATAATCGCACAGCAAGAGGAAGGTGTGATTTGCATATTGCGTGGTGCACAGCTTCAAAATAACTCTTCCAATAAAAGAGAAGTGGAACTGAGAATTGTCACGCAGTGGAAGAAACAATTCTCCGTCTCCAACCTTGGCAGCTTTAAGCCTGGAGACAAAGCTGGCTGGGGAATTCTGGGAGTTGAAGTTCTCCAGGTTTAAAATTGCCAAGGTTGGAGACCCCTGCCTTATGTGACTTACAGGACTTAGATGGTTAGCTTCCTTACAGGTAAAGGTTCTCCTTGAACATATGTGCTAGTTGTTCCTGACTCTAGGGGGTGGTGCTCATCTGTTTCAAAGCTAAAGAACCAGTGCTCTGACTCAACCCTGAAGGCGCATGGAACTCTGTGACCTTCCCACCAAAGGTGGTTCCTATTTTTTTACTTGCATTTTTTACATGCTTTCAAACTGCTAGGTTAGCAGAAGCTGGGACAAGGAATGGGAGCTCACCCCATTACGTGGCACTAGGGATTCGAACCGCCGACCTTTCTGATCGACAAGCTGTGTCTTAGTCACTGAGCCACCACATCCCATAGCTTCCTTAGATATTGAATTATAAAGTTTATCCTATTGCAACTCTGTGGCGCCATATTATTGTGATTATATAATAGTTTATTTATTTATTTATTTAGTAAATTTATAGGCCGCCCAATCCTGAAGGACTCCGGGCGGCTTACAAAGTGAAGAGAAATTAATAAAAAAAATAAAGGAAAACAATTTAAAAACATCACACATGCACCCAATCTGATTGGGGCTGGACCCCAGCAATGAGATCAACAGCCCCAGGCCTGCCGGAACAGCCAGGTTTTAACAGTTTTTCGGAAGGCCATGAGAGTGGGCAAGGTCCGGATCTCTGGGGGTAGCTCATTCCAAAGGTTCTAACCTAATTTAATAGTTTCTCTCTTGTATTGTACATTATTTAATCTCTCTCACCCTTGCTCTCTCTCTGCTTAAACTAACATTTGTATTTCTAGGTACATGTTTTATTAACGTTGCATATCAATGATTGCACAACCTCTATAGATTCACTTAACAATTGTTGGGCTTTGCAACAAGCTTTGGGGTTCATTGTGGTCGTAAACTGAGGACTGCCTGTATGAAGTCTCTTGAAACCCCGGTCTCCACCTGCCAGGGACTGGGACCAAGCAGGGCAGGGGATTTTAAGAGCCGGTCTCCTGGCTGTGTGGACCAGTGGTTGGATCATACCTGGCAGAACTCTTATAAGCCTTATAGGAGGAAATTGCATGTATTTTAATGCAAAATAGAGTGGTGGATGTTATGACTTCATAACTCGAGTTCTGAACGCATAAAGTTATATGGAAGAGAGCAGCTGCAAATGACACACACACACATTCACACACAGAGATCCAGCGATGCGCATCCTGCAGTTGGCTGACGTCAATCCCTGCGATGACGTCACGGATTGACGTCTCACCACTCCTGCCCCTCCCGCCTCCGGCCCTGCTCGCTCTTCCCTTTGCGAGCGCACTGCCCCGGCCAAGCAGAAGGCGGGGAAAGCCTCCTCCGCTCCCCCATCCCATCGTCCGCAGACGGCTAGGATCAGAGAACCCATCAGCCGCGGCTGAGGAGACCGAAGCTTTTCCCGGCCAGCGGCAGATTTCCCGGCCGGCTCACGTGATGCCGAGCGGACGGGGCCGAGCGGGCGCACGCGCATCCCCTCCCATGGGCGGGGCCCCGCACCCGAGCCGCGCCCCTTCTCTCCCCCCCCGCCGGCGCGCGGCGGAGCCACGCCCCCTTTCCCTCACGCCGCTGCGGGTCGCGGAGACTCGCGCGCTCTCCAGCTCCACCGCCGCCGCCGCCGCCAGTCGGGCTCCTCCGCCTCCTCCTCCTCAGCCCCGCCGGCGTCGACATTTCCAGCCGCTGCTCGCCGCGATGGCAGGTGAGGGGACGCGGCTGGGCCCTCTCGCCTCCCTCCCGCAGGACACCCCTGAAGCGGACCACCCCCCGTCTTTCGTCCCCCCCTTCCTCTCCCTCGGGGTCGGTGCTCCGGCCGCTGGAGGCTCTCGGGGGTCGACCTCCTCCGCAGCCACGCCCCTCTTTTTAATGTGTGGGGGTCCACTGGTTCTGCCCCTCCCCGCGATACGGTGCCATCTTGCCCCCTCCCCACTCATCCACAGTCTCTTGGCCGCCGCCGGGATCGATGCTCTCCTTCGCCCCCCCTGCCCTCGCATCTCCTTCGGCTAAACCGCCCCGTCCTCCCCCTCCCCCCATGGACCCCCCGCTTCCCAGCTGGGCCGCGCGCGCCCGCCGAGACCTCCACTCCCCCCGCCGCCGAAGGGCCGCGTTCACGTGCCCCCGTCGGGAGGAAGGGATTTCCATGTAATTGGGGGAGAAGGGGGGGCTGTTCAGGCCGGGAGAGGAAATACCCTTTTTGGGTGGGTGGGGGTGTCTGCCTCCATCTTCCTTGGCCACAAAATGGGTGGCCGAGAGGAGGAGGAGGGGGAGGAGGCGTTGGGGGCGAACTCACCTGCGACTGGGCTGGGTGAGCTTCCCCGGGTGCCCGGCGCGTGGCTGGAGCCGCCTGGGGAGGGGAGGGGAGGCGGTGCGTGATGCACGGGGGAAGAAGGGAGGGGGCTGCTTGCTTTGGGGACCAGAAGTGGATCCCCTTCTAATGCAGGCAGCCTAGGATGGGCCATGGTTCTCCTACTGGCCTTCTCTCTGCCTCATCTCTGGTCTTTTCTGTTGTAGGTGTAGTTTTATGTCTAAGATATCTGAGGTATCCTACCCATCCAGCTATCTGTGCTCGCTCTTTCTTTCTATCTATCCATCCATACATCCATCTCTATTTTGTGTGAGTGTGTGTATGTGTATACATACATATATACAGCATGTATATATACAAACATAACATATCCAAGATGTATGGGTGGATGGATGTAATAATAAAGATTTGTCTTCTGTCTCTCGCACACACACTCCATCCATCCACCCACCCATCTATCTATATTTAATATATGTGTATCTTAAATATATATATATATATATATATATATATAT